AGGAAATAAAAGAACCAAAGAGGGTGTGGATGTAAGAAAGTATCAAGCCCTACGGACTTAGAGGATGCACTATCTTAGATGTTGTACTTATGACAAGACTAATTGCAGGTCGCAGTATACTGACCTGCCCTCCATCTCTGGCAAGTCTCCACTACTTGCATTTGGCAGCTAAGGTCAGGGACTTGGAATTTGGTTGAACCCCTGAATCTCAGTTCTGGGACCTCATTAGCAATCAGTCTGAAATGGTGTTTACTTTGAAATACTCTGAATGTCACTATAAATTAGCCAGTATTGAGAAAGTCTGAATTTTGAACCAGAATTTTATCTGTATTTTATTTATAGTAGGGTTAAAGGCCCAGTGAAGACTGGGGTGACACTGGTGATTATAGTTGAATAGGATATGAGCTCCTGGTATGTACCCTAGAAAATAAGAGTTTTAAAGGGAGCTGTTATTCCTGGTAAGTTTATATTAGTGTCTACCAAGAATGTGGTTTTTGTTTGTTTTCTAATCTTAAATTAGAATAAACTTTATGCTTCTATGAAAGGTATGTATGTACAGTTAAACCTTTAGCATATTTTTAATTCACAATTTTTAGTGTTTATCTTGTCATTTTTCTTTCTATAAGTATCATTTTTTTTCTATATTCTTCCTATTAGATCTTTTCCAACTCTCACTTTAAAGCCAAATAATTATCTCTACTTGTAAGACTCCAGCCATACCTCTGATCCCAACCTTTCTCTTTGGTTTCTATTTCCCTAGTCCTGTCCAAGAAACCTGATAGTGAATGCTGGCCTTTTTGTTAAGTTATAGGTCCCTTCTTTGAGGGTGCCAGCTGTTATTTCTAGTGGGGCTATCTTTCATTATGCTGCTTGGCTGTTTTTACCATGTATATGATGTCTATTCGTTCTGTTATACTTAGAAGGTTTTATTTGTTTGGTTTTGCTTTTGATTTTGGGGTGTGGATTCTTTTAGCCTAGAAATGGTATATATTTTTTTAGAACTGGCCTGTTTCATGACAGTATTTAAACATATTATAATTTATATTTATAATGCATGGTTTACCTATGAAAGTCATCTTTCTATATAACTGAGTGAGTATATGACAGCTGTACATTAGATATGTAGAAGGAACTTATCATAAATTGAGTTAATACTTTTGGAGTATGTCTTTAAAATGTAATTGATAACCTTTGTCCAAAATACGAATTTTAGTAGTCTATGTTGGCATCCTTAATTACTTTTAGAGACTGTATTTTAGGTAGGTAGGTAAATAGGTAGGTAGGTAAAAAGGTATGTAGGTAGAGAGATAGTTTGGTTATGGAAGTGGAAACGTAGAAAGGGAAAGCAGTCACTGGGAGAGCAAATAGTTTGTAGAAGCTTCCCCAAGCTTCCTAGCTCTAATAGCAACCATGCATGTCAAGAACCTGTCTACCATCCTCTGAGAAGTTATTTTAACAAGAAAGTTACACAAAACCATAAAGGCAGGTAGATAGCCCATGTTCTGAAACCCAAAATTATGTTCTTTCCTCTGTTACATCTTGGCTGATACTCTGTCTACACTCCATTCTCTTAACCTTTTCTTCAGAATTTGGCTTAAATGCTAACCCAAACCTGTATGCTTGTGTTCTCTTCCTATTGTTGCCTTCCTGCAGCTAGGAATGTTTAAAGGAGAGTTATACTCAAATACCCAGTGGAGTCTGGCAAGTAACACAGGGTGAGATTTATGTGGTCTTGAATGCCCATGACCCATTTAAAAGCAGCAGCTACCCCTTGGCTTTGTCCAGTGGTTGACAACCTATAATTTAGGTCCATTCTTCCCAGAACGTCCAAACTTTTCATTCTGGAAATCCATATTTGCATGTAATTTTTAATGTCAATTAACTCACATTTTACAAAAGCAATGAATGAGCCAAATGTATGTTGGCCAAAATTGTTTCACAATCTGCAAATTTGCGGCCACTATCCTAAGACAGTGATTTCTATTCAGAAGTACATAATAAAAATCACTTCTCAAGCTTTTTTTTGCCATATTTGCCTTATCTTACCCCAGAAATGCAGATTCAGTGGTTTTAGCAAAATGTCCTGTAATGCCAGTGCTGTCCCTCTCTTGTAACTGAGCATCACCATTGTTATGCCCAGACGCACCAGGTTTGGCTCACTGAGCGGTTATACTACAGATCGGGCATCAGTTTGTAGCATATTTTGGCACTATATTTAGACTATTAGTGGACCAAGGATAAAGTCGCTCTGACTCCATTCCTATCTGATCTCGGCCCGTACACTCTTCCCTACAGACTTTTAGTTTGAAGCTAAATGCTTCTTGAGTATGATAGCTGAATACAAAATTAGGAAAAGTTTCTCTTCACCTTGCCTAAGTAAGGAATAATGAGACCTACCGATCGAAATACGTGGAATCCAGGAACTTCTGGTGTTTTTTTTTAAGTCTTGGAGGCTTTTAATCAACTGCTTTTTAGAAATGTCACATCTGTGAGGCTCTGCCAAGAGATGTCCATCTTCATCTTTCTTAATCCCTTGTAGCACGGCATTCATGTCTGTATTCTAATCTGTGGGAACATTTTTTTTGGACCCACAGCATTAGATTATATTGAATCTTAGAGGCATGGTTTCTTAGCAGTTGAAACTAATAGAATAAAAACTAGTATGTTTAGTACCTGGAATCCCTGGCCATCAAGATATACCTCAAAGAAGCTTTTGCTAAAAAGGAGAGGTATATTCTCTGATGCAGTATTATAGGTTTATCAGAATTGAGAGCATTTTATGCTCTGCAGACTTCTATGTAGAAAGTTAGACTGAGTGGGCATTCTTGTTTACCTACTTAATTATTATATTTTATAGTGACTTATTCAATTTCAGAAGGACTATAATTCTCATTAGGGAACCCTCCCTGGAGGACATAAAGTTACACCATTCATTATTAATCCCTCTGACTTCCTTGGCACTAATCAGATTTTAGTTCCTTACCAATAGTCACCAGGTATTTAGCAGAGAGCCTCTAAGTTCACAGCTTCTCTACCAAGGGAGAGCATATGTATCTAAGGGCCACTGCGGCAGTAATCTGTGTATTAGTTATTGAGCTAAAGTATGCCATGCTGTAGCAAATTACCCCACTTACAGTGACTTGCAACACAGATTATTTTTTTCTTATACCATATGTACATCATGGATCGACTATGCCTCGACCCATGTCTTTTTTATTCCAGGACCCAGACTGACACCAGCCCCTGTTTGGGACGTGGCTGATCATGGCTGAGGAAAAAGAGAAGCATAATGAGTCCAGAACCGTTTCTTAAAGCTCCCTTTCAAAAGGAGAAGCATACCACTTCTATTCATATTTTATTGGCCAGAGCAAGTCATACAGCCAAGCTTAATGTCAAATGGGAAGGGTGAAGAATGATTTTTGAACAGCAATATAATCGAATACAGTTCTACTTCCTCAAGGCCTTATAACTTGTATCTTAGGTATATGTTGTTAGTCAACAAAAATAAACAGAAACTGAGTAAAATACGTGCCTGAGTATCACAGCAGCTATTAACTTCTTATCTGTCCTTAAGCAATGGACGGTAATTATTTTATTTTCCCCAAAGGACCTCCTGCCATCTCAGAGATAAGTAATAAGCCCAGCGATGGTCAGTGCTCTTATCAAGGACCATTTTTCCCTTGCCTGGTCTCCTCAACTCCACAGCTTCCTGGATGCGTGCCTTCTAGCATACAAGTTGAACCACTGGCTCCCCCTTCTGGTCTTTGTGAGAAATTCACAAGTAATGTTAACATACGCTGTACTTGTACTTTTATTATTTTGTGTCTCAATTACAGTTTACATTCAATAGTATTTGAATTAGTTTCAGGTATACAGCATTGTAGTTAGACAAATCACATATTTTACAAAGTGTTTCCCCCAATATTTTCAGTACCCACCTGGCACAATATATAGTTATTACAATATTATTGACTATATTCCCTTTGCTGTACTTTATATCCCCTTGACTATTTTGTAACTACCAATTTGTACGTTTTATTCCCTTCACCTTTTTCACCCAGTACCCAAGCCCCTCTCACCTCTGGCAACCATCATCTGTTCTCTATTCTCAAAAGCTACAATTTTTTACCTTGACACTTCCCCTATTATACCTAGCTTTTTTTTTTTGTATCAGTACCTCCTGTTACAGACTGTGGCTTATGTTCTCTAATGTTAATTGGATTTTCGCTTCTTCCCCTTAAGTTATATACTCTAACAAGGTCTCATTCAGTTTTGTCTTTTCGGTGATCTCAGCATTTTTAATCAGATTCTAATCCTGGTTCCAGCATTGAGTTCATTACTCTCATTAATCGTGTTTTATTTCTAAATAAATTGGGCCACTTAACTTCTCTAGACTACTAGTTGTTTTACCTGTGGAATGGCTCAACTCTCAGTTCTTATTTCTCTTTGCCTGCCTTGTTCCCTGGCTATTCGTATGACTGCACTGAAAACTTTTTTAAAAAGGTTTTTGGAAAGGTATATACACTGTTATATTAGATTAATAAACATCTTCACGTGGATACCCTTGACATAGATTTTATTATATGTAGTATTGATTACAGATTTGATAAAGTAGGAAATTAAATATGCTATTTAAACTCCAACTGTAAAAATATTTCATTAAACAGTGGCATTTGCAAATCAATATGGTATTTAAAGCTTGTCTTTTTTAAAAAATATATTTTATTGATTTTTTACAGAGAGGAAGGGAAAGGGATAGAGAGAGAGAAACATCGATCAGCTGCCTCCTGCACACCCCCTACTGGGGATGTACCCGCAACCAAAGTACATGCCCTTGACTGGAATCGAACCTGGGACCTTTGAGTCTGCAGGCCGACGCTCTATCCCCTGAGCCAAACCGGTCAGGGCTAAAGATTGTCTCTTACTAGACATTGTAAATATCTGAGTTGCTTGACTCTAGCTTTTAGTAACAATTCATTCTTTTCCTTTTTCCTATGTAGATCACAAGAGACCCCTGGGGATGGGCAGCCTCCGGCTTTACCGCCCAAACAATCGAAGAAAAACAGCTGGAACCAAATGTATTATTCACATTCGCAACAAGATCTGGAAAACCATATTAATGAGGCATTTGATGTTCCATCTTCCCCTGAAAAATCTACTGTAAGTAGCTTCAAATATTCTCATATTTCTTTGAAATTTTAAAATTATAAATGAAGTTATTTTTGTACAGTGGCATGTTTTGTAGCATTTTCTCTTTTTTATCATATGTTTGCTCATAAATTATGACATGATATAACCTAACTGGAATTTCCTTTTATCATCATTTATAAAATGCTCATTACTCTAGACGTTAATTTTTAATAAATATATGTTGATTTTAGTCTTGTAAAACACATTTCTAGAACAAATGCTAATAGTCCATTAAATATTATTAACTTGATTATAATTCACTGAGTGCAGAGACTATTATTTTCATCAACCTTTTGACTATATTTATGGATTATGTTGGTACTTTTGCCTTAGAGAACATGTTTTTACCACAACAAATGATAAATTGTTAAAATCCCCTGATTTACGAATTTTTATTGCTTTTGTAGATAGATGTAAATAAACCAAAAGTGAGATTATCAATAAATTTTAAGGATGCACAGTGTTCATGAGATGGATAAGGACAGGCAAAGTATGGGTATATTTCAGGAAACTTAATAGGGACATCAGGAAATAAAATAAGATGCAGGGAGAAAAGGGTCCACAGCAGGTTTGACACTGCCAGAAATTGCTGGTAGCCGTTGCACACATGGCCGTCTCGTTTTTCCACCTATGGCCCTCCCACGTTATCTCAAGTTGAAAGGCAAGAGGCACTCACTCTAGTCTCCCACACTTATTGTTGTCCCACCACCATAGACACATCAAAAAGAGAGAAGAATCCTTACCAAAAATGGCAACTTTAGTGTTACCTCTGTGGTGATTCTTTTGTATCATTCATTCATTCATTGGTTCATAGTTATTGAGATCTTTCTGTGTGCTAAGGTACTTTGGTAGGTAGTAGGAATACAGAGACAAGTAAGACGTGGTCCCTGCTGTTAAACAATCTACAGTGTAGTTTGTTTTTTCATTCATTTCTTTATTGAGTAGCTGCTGTATGCCATGCATTGTTGTGGGTTTAAGGATTTTATGGAATTAAAAAAAAAAAACCACCTTGCCTTCAAGAAACTTACATTCTGGGGATAAGGGCGAGACAAATAGTAAACAAGGCACATAATTTAAGTCTATAGCATATTAGATAGTATAAATGCTAGGGAGAAACATAAAGCCAGAGGCCTAGGGAATTTCAAGAGTGTTACAATTTTAGATAATATAGCCAGAAATGAACTTAGTGATAAGCCATGTAGATAAGTTGAGGGAATGGTAGGTGCAAAGGCAGGGATATGACTGATACAATCAAGGAAGTCAGTGTGGCTAGAGCAAAGTCAGCAAATGAGGAGGAGATGGGTACAGGACAGGGTCAGATCCTGAAAGCCTTGTCTTATAAAGACTTTGTTTTAAACCCTGAGTGAGGTAGGAAGCAAATGCACATACAGATCTGAGGAGAGAAGTAGCATAATGTGACTTGTTTCACTCTAGCTGTTCTATTAAAAATAGCCTGAGAGCAGGGTAGTAGAGATAGTTGTTATAACATATTGAAGTATCCCAAGCAAGTAATGGTGATTTGGACCAGGGTGATAGCCACAGAAGGAATAAGACATGAGTTTATTCTGGATATATTTTTAGAGTAAAACTAACGTAATATGCTGATGGATTAAATGGGGTGTACTAGAGAAAGAGAGATCAAGGATAGAAGCAAGGTTTTTGCCCTGAACAACTAGAAAGGTGAAGTTTCCATTTACTAAGATCTGAAAGACTACAGGTAGAGCAGGTATGGGTGGAATATCAGGAGCTCAGTTTTGGACATGCTACGTTTGAGGTGTCTATTAGAAATCCATTTGGAGATGGGATTCTGGATTTGAAGGGAGAGGTTCAAGCTAGAGTTGTGACATTGAAAACTGATGGTATATAGACAATATGTTAAACCATGAGGTAGGAAGAAATCACCAAGAAGGTGTGTTGTGTATAGATTTCTAAATAAGAGATTCTAGAAATTGAGCTTTGGCCCTCTAAATTATAAACAGGAGGGAGATTAAAAACAAAACAAAACACAGCAACTGAGACTGAGGAGACACAGATAGAAAGGTAGTCAACTGACTGGTGGGAAGACAGTCACAGAGAGAATAATCAACTTTGTCAAATGCTACTGGTAAGTCAAGTAAGATGAGGACTGAGAATTGAACACTGGAACAATGTGAAAACCTCTGGTGACCGTAATGGGAACAGTTTTGGTGAAGTGCTAGGGGTGAAAACCAGACTCTAGGATGCAGTGAGAAGGACAGCAAACACTCTTTCAAGAAGTTTAAAGAAAGACAAGTATCACATGATCGCACTCAGATGTGGAATCTAAGTAACAAAATAAACTGATGAACAGAATGGACCCAGAGACATGGAACAGAGTGGGGAATCTCAGTGAGAAGGTGGGGGAGGGTGGGTGGGAGGGTGGTAATCAACAACAACAAAACAAAAGTTTAGCAGTAAGAGGAAGGAAAGAAAGGACAGTAGCTAGATGGGGAAGTGGAGTCCAGAGAAGAGGAGTTGTTGTTGTTTTAATGGGAGAAATAAGAGTATTTCCAAGAGGATGAGGGAAATGGATAAGGCAGGAGGGTAGAGAATTGCTATAGCAATATTCTTGAGTATGGAAGAGAGGATGGGATCTAGAACAAGCAAGTAGGAAGACAATTTGAAGGCAATATAAAGTCTATAATTAGAAGTGATTATAGAGAATTTACAAGTATATATAAATAACTAATGCAGCTGTGGGGTTAAGGAAAGACTTCCCAGAAGTGATCATCTCTGAGCTGTGACTTGAAGGATAAGTAAGAATTAGCCAGATACTTACCCTCAAAGAGCAGGCATAAAACATGGTAAGTGAAAGAAGCCAGTAACAACCATCCTATCTAATAATAGACAAACATGGTAATTAACCGTAACTTTGCTACCCTTCCCATTGGCTAATCAGCGAGATATGCAAATTAACTGCCAACGAAGATGGCGGCCGGCAGCCAGGCAGCTGAAGCGAACAGGAGGCTTGCTTGCTCCAGTGATGGAGGAAGCCAAGATTCCCCGCCTGCCGCTTCCAGCCTCTGAGCTGCACTCTCAGAAACAATGTTGCAATTATAGAAGCTAAACAAACCCCAGAAACCTGCTTTCAGCCAGCCGGGCCTCAGAGCTGGAGTTGCAACAGTGTTTCAATTATAGAAGCCAAACAAACCCAGATACCTGCTTTCAGCAGCCGGTAAGGGGGGGGGGGTGGAGGGGAGGGTGGTAATCAACAACAACAAAACAAAAGTTTAGCAGTAAGAGGAAGGAAAGAAAGGACAGTAGCTAGATGGGGAAGTGGAGTCCAGAGAAGAGGAGTTGTTGTTGTTTTAATGGGAGAAATAAGAGTATTTCCAAGAGGATGAGGGAAATGGATAAGGCAGGAGGGTAGAGAATTGCTATAGCAATATTCTTGAGTATGGAAGAGAGGATGGGATCTAGAACAAGCAAGTAGGAAGACAATTTGAAGGCAATATAAAGTCTATAATTAGAAGTGATTATAGAGAATTTACAAGTATATATAAATAACTAATGCAGCTGTGGGGTTAAGGAAAGACTTCCCAGAAGTGATCATCTCTGAGCTGTGACTTGAAGGATAAGTAAGAATTAGCCAGATACTTACCCTCAAAGAGCAGGCATAAAACATGGTAAGTGAAAGAAGCCAGTAACAACCATCCTATCTAATAATAGACAAACATGGTAATTAACCGTAACTTTGCTACCCTTCCCATTGGCTAATCAGCGAGATATGCAAATTAACTGCCAACGAAGATGGCGGCCGGCAGCCAGGCAGCTGAAGCGAACAGGAGGCTTGCTTGCTCCAGTGATGGAGGAAGCCAAGATTCCCCGCCTGCCGCTTCCAGCCTCTGAGCTGCACTCTCAGAAACAATGTTGCAATTATAGAAGCTAAACAAACCCCAGAAACCTGCTTTCAGCCAGCCGGGCCTCAGAGCTGGAGTTGCAACAGTGTTTCAATTATAGAAGCCAAACAAACCCAGATACCTGCTTTCAGCAGCCGAGGTCTCAGAGCTGGAGCCGAGCCTCAGAGCTAAAGCCGGCTCTCAGTTCCAGTGACAGCCATAGAAGGTAAATAAATCCCAGAA